TGATCTAACCACTTATTAAAGATTAATTGGGAAATTTCTGTAATTAACTATGAAAGACCAATGTATCATTCAATGTACAGATGTTAAGTCAATTCTTACAGCAGCCAAAAAAATCTCATATGGAAGCAGCACTCAGAATTGTGAAATATCTAAAGAATCAGCCTGGGCAAGAAATTCTTCTATCTAGCAAATACAACAATACTATTTCTGCATATTGTGATGCAGATTGGTCTTCATGTCCACAGTCCAAAAAATCTATAACATGCTACTTAGTTAAACTTGGAGAGTCTCTAAATTGTTGGAAATCAAAGAAACAGACAAATGTCTCAAGAAGCTCAGCAGAAGCTGAGTACAGAAGTATTGCTGATACAGTTGCAAAACTGATTTGGTTATTGAGACTACTTAAGGAAATTGGTATTGAAGTAAAGACAACAGTTGACATTTTCAGTGACAATAAAGTTGCTATGCAAATAGCAGCAATCCTGTTTATCATGAAAGGACTAAACATATTGAAATCGATTGTCACTTTATAAGGGGAAAAATAGTCCAAGGAGTGGTTACAACAAAGTACATTTCCACAAGAGATTAGCCAGCTCACATCTTAACCAAAAGTCTTAATAAAGTTCAACATGAGTACCTTTGCTCCAAGCTAGGTGTTCTTAACATTTTCTCACTACCTAGCTTGAGGGGGGAATGTTGAGACAATTAAGTGATATTCTCCTAAGGGTACATTAGTCATTTACTTATACACTAAGCTAAATTAGTTAGTGTTAAATACTTTATATATGCATATGTAAGAAGTAATATTCAGTTGTAATGAAATAACATACACACGCTCCTTTCTTTCTCTCTTCTTCTTTCTTCTCTCTGCTACTCTATCTTCTTCATCTAAGTAGGGTTCATCCCAACTCATCTTCTATCAAATTATCTCACCTACCAAGGTTTTTTCATACCCAAGCTCGAGCTCAAGATTTCTAGTTAAGGGAAGAGTAGCCCCATAGGTTTGTTAACAACATGAAAGAATTAGATCATTCTTTTTCCGTTTCTAAAAAATATACAAATGCAAAATTTAACTACACAAAAATGAAATTTTATTTGGAGTGAGTACATTCTAGTCAGAAAACATTAATGTTTAATGCACATAGAAAGCTTAAATAAAAGGCCTACTATTATTTTTCAAATTGTGCTAGTATTCCTTTGAAATACATTGATTTGACTTATCTATGAAAAAAAGTGGGAGAAAACATGTAGAAAGGCGAAGGGGACTCGAAACTACGTCTTCACATCTTTTCATTTACTGGAAATAGTGCATTTACAAGGCTAAAAAGACTAGAAACTGCGTTTTCACATCTTTTCATTTACTGAAAATATCGTGGAGACATTAATTGTTGCTTGTACTTTTGGCTGTGAGATTCATCAATACAAACACCCAAAAAGGTTGAAATGTTGATTTTGAGAAAAAAGCAAAGGAAAAAAGCTAAATTAGTACACATTGAGAAATAATTAGGGGGATAGATTCACGCACTGTATTTACTTGTATCGGGTCAATTTTATGGGACTTATCTTTTTCTCCGATAGTTGAACCCAGAGCCCGTGATCTGGAAACCGGAAATTATCAGTTTTGAAGAAGATAGTTGACCCAAAATGTCCGGTCAAATACTACTACTACTACCTCCAAGCTTATATCATACTAGTCAATTTGGAACTTTCTAAAATTCTTAGAGTATGTTTCGCCAAGCTTATAAGAAGCTAAAAGTTTTTTTTCTTTGTCAAAAATTATTTTTTTGAAAATTTTAGATGTTTGGCCAAGACTGATAAGTGTTTGAGTGCCAACATAAATAGTTTCTCTGCTCAATAAATCACAAAATTCTAGCTTCTTTTAAGAAGCAGAAGTAATGTAGAAAATTAAGAGCCCTTTTGGACATAAGAATTTTTTCATTTTTTTTCGAAATTTTTTGACTTTTTTCGAAATCAGTGTTTCGCCATAAAAATCCCATTTTCACTTGAAAAGAAATTTTAGAATTTTTTGAAAATTTGAAAAACTCAAAAAAAATTATTTTTCAAATTTTTACTCAGACCACTCACAAAAATTAAAAACAACCCAAATTATATTTATGTCCAAACCTCTAATTTTCAATTAGCATTTTCACTTGAAAAAAATTTTACTTTTTTTTTTCTGAAATTTTACAATTTTCATGTCCAAACGCTCACTAAAAATATCCTTCCCAAAAATTTACATTTCCCAAAGAGATAATGCATAAATTACCCATAAACTTGTCCGGAAAAATCATTTACACACCTTAACTTTACTGGCGGCCTATGTCCCCCCTATTCTTGNCTCCATGTATCAAGATGATGCTGACTACTTAATATTTGATTTAAGAGATAATACATAAATTACCCATTAAACTTGTCCGGAAAAATTATTTACACACCTGCGACCTATGTCCCCCCTATTCTTATTTGGGGTGTTAAGACCACCCTAAATGGTGACGTGGCAAAGAGAGTAGCTTCACTCTCCCAATCTCGCGTGTAAGAGGGAAATTTTTTACTGTGTGGGTTCCCTTTTTCGTTTACTTCTTTTTTTCTTATTTTTTTTTCTTTTTGTTTTCTCTCTCCACCTTTTCTTCTTCCTCTCACAATTGCAAAAATCGTCTTTTTAACAAATTACTTTTTTGTAAAAATTGTATTTTTTTTTTGTAAAAACAGAATTTTTTTTCAGTTTTTAATAAATATTTTCGTTTTTTAAAAACTGAAAAAAATATTTTCAACAAATTATTTTTGCTTTTGAAAAAAGTTTATTTTCTTCATTTTTTCAGTTTTTTAAAGATTTTTTTTGCAAAAAATGGAAAAACTAATTTTTTTTTGTAAAAGCAGAAAAAATTCGTTTTTTAACAAAATATCTTTGTTTTTTAAAAACCGAAAAAATTATTTTCAACAAAATATTTTCGTTTTTGAAAAATATTATTTTTATTTTTTCAGTTTTTTAAAAGAATTTTATTTTGTAAAAACTGGAAAAAAAAATTTGTAAAAACTATTTTTTTTTGAAAAAACTGAAAAAAATCATTTTTAACAAAATATCTTTGTTTTTTAAAAACTGAAAAAATTATTTTCAACAAAATATTTTCGTTTTTGAAAAATATTATTTTTATTTTTTCAGTTTTTTAAAAGAATTTTATTTTGTAAAAACTGGAAAAATAAATTTGTAATAACTATTTTTTTTTTGTAAAAACAGAAAAAAATCGTTTTTGAGCAGATATTGACACGTGGCGCGCGTGTACTACACACACCACCACAAGACTGACAAAGTGTTACCAATGGGGTATTAAATTCACCCCAAACAAGAATAGGGGGGACATAGGTCGCCCGTAAAATTAAGGTGTGTAAATGATTTTTCCGGACAAGTTTGATGGGTAATTTATGTATTATCTCTTTCCCAAATTATCGCTCATTAATTTAACTTTTTATTTTTTGTTTCTACCATCCATTTCTTCACTTTTCTTACTTCCCATCATTTCTATTCTTCTCCTATTCTTCTTTGAAATGATCTCTCTAATATGAACATATTTCTTCTTTTAGTGTATTAGATTTATGGAGTAGACTTTTGATTTATATTGGACAACGAATATTGATATGTTTGAATCATCACGTAAACAATAAGTAATTTCTTATATCCAATATTATTTTGCTGGATAACTATATTTTCTATTGATTAAAATCTTTAATATATATTTTACTTTATCATTTTATAAATTCAATTCTCTATAACAAATAATATTGATTATATATTCAATATTACTATCGTTTTGTGTAATTTGATACTCAAAAGTACTTTTTTGAAACGATTGGCCGAACATAATTTGCATATCAAATATTGCAAAAAGCACTTCTAAAACGAATTGGCCAAACATGCTCTTAGTAACATTACATCATCGATTCACTATACTGATATATATAGTTAGAACTAATCAAATGTAATTGTTGATGTAATATTTTTTATCAAACAAACTATTTATATAAATTACTTTAACATTTTGTTGGTATAGAAGTGTAAAAATATCAAATATTGAAATAAAACAGACCGAAATAGAATAATTGATAAGATGAGTTCCTAGAGTTAATCCCAACTAGTTTGACTCTTAATGAGGAAAACAATCTTGTTGTATAATTTGGTAAGTATAGTTTTATTCAATGTTTGATTTACATTTGGAATCATCTATAACTAATTCTTGTGTATTTATACCGTCAACAACACAGAATAACTAGTCCATGTATACGTTAATATGTATAACTAAGTTATACATGGTTAAAGCATCAAAGATACAGAATTTTTGTCTTTTCCCCGAAAAGCCAGTGAAGATTAAACATCCAAGGATATAATTATAAACTCATTCCTTTTTAGTTAAATAAATATTTTAAATGTTATTTAGTATATTTAATTTCATTACAACAAATCAAACATCCAACAAGAAATAATTTATATATTACTATCCCTACATAATTTATTCGTACCCGCAGAGGCGGAGCTAAGATTTCAAGCTTATGAGTTGGGAATTCTTAGTATTTTAAGTTACTGGGTTCTAAATTATTAAATTGAAATAATAAATGAATTGTTCAAGACAAATACAAGGTTTGAACCAAAGCTACTGAATTCGTCGAACCCGTAGCCAGAACACTGCCTCCGCCCCTGACCAAACGTCCCCTGGCATGTTCATTTTATCTCATTTCATATGAACCTATTTTTATTTGTAAAATCAAAATCTTTTCAAATTAAGTTGGACAAGAATAATGAAACGAGTGTCCAAATTAAAGGGTTTGATCACGGATTCTGAATCATGCTAATTCTTTTTAGGAGAAAAAAAATAATATTTAATTGTAATTATAATTTTATTCTCGCGTTAAGTAAAATTTCAGAAAAAAAAAAGAAAAAGAAAGGAGTTGCTAGTAAGTAGTAGGCGAAAATATACATTAAACTCCGATATAGGTAGAGTCTATAATATGAGGTGGGTGTGTGGTTTGCCAGCGAAGAAGCAGAAGGATCAATGCTTTCTCTTTCTCTCACCTCAGGTCAAAGCTGGCACTCTGTATGTGTGTATTAAGGAGTAAGCCCCTCTCTCTTTTTCCTCTTCTCTTATTTACATCACCTTTCCTCTCCCTCTCACCTTCACTCTCTCTCTCTCTCTCGAAGAGCTTGGCATTTTAATGGTTGATCATTGTACACCAACCAATATGGCTGCCTCTTCTTCTGTCTCCTCTTCTGAAAAGAAACATTGGTGGATTAGCAACAGAAAGGTAATTATAAATCATTTCTTTTTCCCCCAATCTAATCTAACATATACTCAAGTTTTAATAAATACTTATTAACATTTCTTTTACAGATTGTTGACAAATATATCAAAGATGCTAAACTTCTTATTGCAACACAAGAACCCAGCGAGATTGCTTCCGCCGTTAACCTTCTCGACGCTGCACTTTCTCTGTCCCCTCGTTTTGAGTTAGCACTCGAGTTAAAAGCCCGATCTTTACTCTATCTCCGCCGATTCAAGGACGTCGCCGCTATGTTACAAGACTACATTCCCAGCCTAAAACTTCCCGCCGATGAAACATCGTCCACGTCATCCACTTCTTCTTCTGGTTCATCCGATAACTCATCCTCACACCTCTCAAGAGAGCGAGTGAAGCTCCTTTCTTCGGGTCGGGACGAAACCAGTTTCAAATGCTTCTCTGTTTCTGATTTGAAGAAGAAAGTTATGGCTGGTCTTTGCAACAACTGTGATAAAGAAGGGCAATGGAGGTAATTTTGCTGTTCTATTCATTGGCTTCTAGATTACGCCATAACAGCTAGCTGTCTCTGTATTAATTGATGATTTGTCCTAATCTTGATTTATTTATTTCTTTTTTCAAGTCAAATCTGCTTTGTTATTACTGTACTTCTTTATTGTTTATTCACTTACATTATAGTAGTATTAATAACTACTCCTTGAAAAATGTAGTCTTTATTGAAATTTCTGTGTGTATTTAAGGCTTGAATCTATAGTGAACGAGCTGACTCGGACTCACACTCGTTCGTTATTTGTGTATTTTTTTTCAGGTACTTGGTATTAGGTCAGGCTTGTTGCCATTTGGGTCTAATGGAAGACGCGATGGTTCTTTTACAGACTGGTAAACGCATCGCAACAGATGCATTCCGTCGCGAAAGCATTTGCTGGTCTGACGATAGTTTTTCGTTTACCAAATTCCCAATCTCCGGCGAACCGGGCACCAGAAATAACCAGCCTCCGACTCCTCCTAAAACGGAGTCCGAGAGCATTTCTCAACTGCTCAGTCACATTAAGCTTTTGCTCCGTCGAAAGACGGCTGCAATTGCTGCTCTTGATGCAGGGCTTCATTCAGAAGCTATTAGACACTTCTCCAAGATTGTAGATGGTCGTCGTGGTGCTCCACAAGGGTTCTTAGCCGAATGCTATGTGCATCGGGCCTCAGCATATAGATCTTCTGGTCGAATTGCTGAGGCAATAGCTGATTGTAATCGGACACTAGCATTAGACCCTTCTTGCATTGATGCTCTTAGGACTAGAGCTGCTTTATTTGAAGCTATTCGATGCTTGCCAGATAGTCTTCACGATCTCGAGCACTTAAAACTCCTTTATAATTCGATGCTACGTGATAGGAAATTACCTGGACCTATATGGAAGCGTCAAACCGTGCAGTACAGGGAAATTCCAGGGAGGCTTTGTTCCTTGGGTGCTAAAATGCAAGAGTTGAAGCAGAGAGTTGCTTCTGGTGAAACTGGGAATGTAGATTACTATGCATTGATCAGTTTAAGGCGGGGTTGTTCAAGATCAGAGTTGGAAAGAGCACATCTACTGCTCACTTTAAGACATAAGCCTGATAAATCATCAAGCTTTGTTGAAAGGTGTGAATTTGCGGATGAAAAGGATATAGATTCCGTTAGGGATCGGGCAAAGATGTCATCTTTACTGTTGTATAGATTGATCCAGAAAGGTTATACAAGTTTAATGACGACGATCATAGATGAAGAAGCTGCTGAAAAGCAGAGAGCTAAGGCTGCAGCTGCGTTACAAGCAATGCAGCAACAAGTTCAGCAAACTCAAGTACTTGAACAATCTAGAGCTGAAACAGTCCGCAATAATGCAGCATCAAGAAGAGCATCAGAGGCTGCTGCTAATACTACATCAAGAGTAATTTCGGAGGCCGCTCTTAATACTACATCAAGAGTAATTTCGGAGGCTGCTGCTAATACTACATCAAGAGTAATTTCGGAGGCTGCTGCTAATCCTACATCATGTAACAACAGGGCAGAAAACAAGGTGGTGTCAAGTTCAACAAATGCATCAGCATTTCAAGGGGTGTTCTGCAGAGACCTTGCTATTGTTGGGAATTTATTGTCTCAAGCTGGAACTGGGTTTAATCGCCCAATTCCTATGAAATATGAGGCATTGAGCTGCTAAATGTTAAGGATTTATCGTTAAAAATCGGAAGGAGATTTAGCTTGGACAATGTTAATACTATCGGCGCTGGAGAAGAATCTGAATTTAGTCCAATATCTTTGTACAAAGGATAAAAATATGGGTTACTATTGGCAGCCGGGAAAATTTTGTTACTTTATCTTTTAATCTATTTTCTCTATTATTCTCTCTTTACTTGTTATATTTTTGTTTTTTTGTTGTCAACTTTTGGTCGCTTTTGCACTACATGTACAGAGTTAAATTTATCTACCGGTATCCTTTCTCTTATACTTCACTCCACAATTTCTGCAATTTCTTAGTATATTTTTTGATGATATGGTTGCTTTGTCATATTACTTCAGTTGTCCTCTGTTTGTTTAGATTTTGAGAAGCTGAGGAAATCCTAAAGAGGGGGTGAATTTAATGGTTCCATAGGAAAGGAAGGGGTGAAAGGTTGAAAAAGAAGCAAGTTTTAGCTTCCATCTCATGTCTTTATCTGCTGCTTTCTTCAGAGCACAGCACAGTACAAAGTCCATTGCATTAATTAGAGCAAGTGTTTACTAGTACTATGCTCTTTCTTTTCTTTTCATGCGTCAGGCTTATCTATGCTGCCCTGCCAAAACCCTGACATTCTACTTGATTTCAATAAAAAATGACTTTGCTGGAGTATTTCTTTTTACTACATTCAAAAATTAGAATCTTTTGGTTCATCCTCTCAATTGTAATTTGTCCTGTTATAGTATATTTGCAGTAAGTGTATGAATAAAATGATGAAGGAGTTGGCACGCAAAGTTGCATTAATTGCTAAAGATATAGAATAGTGGACTCTGAGAAGAGAGTTGTCTGTATCATAGTTTGAAAAAGTGTACGAAATGATGTACATAACTGATTAAAGTGTGTTTGCTTCTGATGACTGGTGAACTCATTGGAAAACCATACTGTATTAGATATTTATAGGCCTGGCCTTTTGGGAGTAACTTTTTCCATTGTCATTATCAAAATTTACCATTTTACTCTGCCCATGGGTTCATTAGTGCAGGACAGTAAGGTACGGGGAAAAAAGAAGGGGACCTTACCTCATTCGCTTTTCTTCCTTCAACTCCCTTTTTTCTTCTCTTTCTGGGTCTTCTAACTCAGCGCCTCGAATTTCGGAGTTCTCCATACACATATGTCACACATGCAAGCGTAACATGTACTTTGGTTACCATGTACCAGTGCTTGTACAATTTCTTCAATATTATATTGCCACGCTCAACCAAATCTCACATAGAAAAAAATATTGAATATATAAGAAAACAAGTCTTAGTTCCTAGTGGCACAATATGTCCTAGGTGAATCCCACATCGACAAACGCGAAGAGATGCTGGATATATAAGTAAATAACTCTTAGATCCTAGTGGCACGTTTCATATTGAATGTCATGGTGTCATCGTGACCACCAAATTCTGGATCCGCTTCTGTCTGGACGCAAAGCGAACAATATTACTAGTGAACTGGACTAGTACAAATATCTTCTTCTTTATCCATTCATACACCAAATTGAACTTTTCCAAATAGAACGACATTATTTGGTGATAGTCTTGCTAGTGTAGCAGTATTAAATGAAGGGACTTAGCTTTTAAAATATTTATTTTCAGCAGCCAGAGTAAAACTTATATATCATGGAGAATGGTTAATACTTAATAGTAATAGGCTTAACTGGCAAAGGGAGCAAGACAATCGTTTATTGAAGTATCACCTTGAAGACAGGAAGATAAGAATCACCATCTTAAACCAATGCAAGAACAAATATTCTCGTAGAGGTCGTCTGGCTTTTTGTGTAAGTGGAACTGTGAAACTATAGAGGTGTGCTTAGGAAATACCGATCGACTCTGTAAAACTTTGTTATTAACAAAATCCAATTTAGTGTTCCCCACTTCCCTTACTTCCCACTTACACAAAATGGGCCACTATGTTTTACCAATAAAGTGTTAAACCATTTTATAAACTGAATAAATAGGTAGATTTGAGGTAAATCCTAGCCAAAGATAATTCGTCCTAGATCTAAGATAAAAGATATGAATGAGCAAACATAACTGAACATAAGATTTAACTCTAACAATGATTGAATGCTATTATGTAAGAAAAGAATGGTGATTTTCATAATACTGGATAATAGTGAAGAAAACATAGATAAAAGGGGGTCACCGATCTTTAACAAGGTTGACCCCCATACATTTGATATAATGAGACTAACGATGTGTACTGAGGATCTGAGCTTCCTTGCTTCTTTCTCTTTAGCGGAGAGAAAGGGATGAAGATCCCTCTTCTTCCCTGAAAATATGTCTGTGTGTGAATTTATTTCAGCCCCCTTTCTTCTTCTTCTCACTTAGTTTATATACTAGGTATTCTCTGTTATCCAACAGTCCATAACCATAGTACCTAAGTCATTTGACTGTATTACTTGTTGACCCTCCGAAATGCAGTAACATCCAATTCGACGTTCAAGCATTCTGAATACACGACCTCGGCCATGGCCGAGGTGCGTGTCGTTATAGCATTGTATGGATACGACTTTGGCACAAGTGACTTTTTGCCGTTCCTTTTCACGCGGATTCTCGTCTGGTCAGATTTTGACCCATACAGTTAGTCCCTCCGCCTATTGGGGTCGCCTTTTCTTAAGGGCACGATGATTCACCTGCGTCACCGAGCAACCAAGGGTTTAGTGGTGAAGATGGATGACAAGGCCAACCACCACTCTTGGGAGAACTTCTTCTACGTCTGAACAGAGCACGTGGTGTCGAACCCTGCGGGGTTTCCTGAGGCGTGAAATTTTGCCCGTAAGTCTCCCTTTCCTTTTATTATATTATATCTTTTTGAACATCGCTGTTGGTCGTCTCCCTTTAGTGACCGTCGAGTGTTTTCTGTTTCCGCAGCCGAGAGGGTGCCTCCTCAGCAAGTTTCCAATATTCGCGAATGGGTGAGCTCGATTCTGCCGCGCACAATGGGGCTCCGCGAATGGGTGCCTTTTCACGAGAGGTTTGGGCGCAAACTTATTTCGGCATTAGTTGCTTTGTTCTTTGCTCTGTCTTTTTCTTTATCTTATATCTTTTTTTGGTCGTCTCTCATTAGCAGGTCGGAGAGGAGCGAGAAAGGCAAGGGCTCCTCTCCTTGCTTTCCGTCAACCGGCTTCCTCTGCCCGGCCGGTACCAAGGGTAACTGTGGATGAGGGCGTCCAAAGTCCGGGACCGAACTTGTTCGTTCGGAGGTTGCTCTTCGGTCGGACACTCCGGTTCCCACAGTCCGTTCAGTGGGAGAACCTTCTCGTGGTGGTGGCGAAGAGGCCCCGTCAAAGAGGCGGAGGTTGTCAGATGGGGCATCTTCGGTTGAAACGCCCTCGAGGGGCGACCCTACTTTGGCGGTGTCTGAAGTTGGCGGTGATACCGGCTTGGGTGTAGAGGCGGTGCCCGTCTCAAATGTAGAAGAGGCTGCTGTGGCAGGGGGACAGAGTTCGGAGGCCGCCGCGATTGTTCCGAGCGATCCATCGACGTCTCGGCAGGGACGCGTCCCCTCTTCGGCTAATGAGAGATTGAAGAGCGTAGTGAGAGATGACTATGAATCTGGTTCTGACATTGACCATGAGGATATGAGGAATATGTTCGAGGAAGGTTTTACCAGGGTCTATGTGAGGGCGGAAGGCCCTTCCCGTGTGCTCGAAATTCCATCAGATTTTAACCTGTTGGAGGACACTATGGACTTGGTGCCCCAATTTGATCTTCTATGTTCTGCCGCCGAAAGTAGATCACTTCGGGAGATCAGTGATTCTGATTTATCGCGCAGCGTGGCTGGGATGGCCTTGAGGGTGAGTTTCCTTTCGCTATTTTCTTTGTTTTGTGCTATTTACTTTCGATGATTCTTCCTTTTTCCTCCTTAGAGTTACATGCTGAAGATCGAGAGTGCTCGTCAGGCTGAGACTCGGGCTGATATATTTCTGAAAATGGCCACGAAGTACCACCGGTATCACAATAGGTGCCGTGAGATGCACGAGCAGCTTAGGGTGGGTACTAGTACGCAATCCCTCAAGGAGGAGTCGGAGTTGAAGGACGAGGATATGATGAGGTCTATCCGCAGATGTAGCGAGCTTGAGGGACTGCTTAGGTCCAAAGACGAGGAGCTCGAGGTGGGAAAAGGGGTTGCGGCGGAAAAGGTGTTATCTTTGCGAGCCGAGCTTGAGCAGAATGCCACCAGAGTTGTCGATCTCAGTGCAGAGTGGACGGAGAAAGTGGCTAAGCTAGAAAGGAAGGTGGCCAAGTTGGAGAGGGCCGAGGGATCCCGAGTGGCAGCTTTGGCAAGGGCAGCGGCACTGGAAGACACTATCCGCATCCTCAGGTCTGAGTGGGAAGCCGAGAGGGCCACGACCACACTGAGGGAGGCAAGGCTCGAGGAGCGGGTCGGTGAGCTCGAGCGAGATACCTCGAACCTAGGAGACCAAGTTGTGGCTCTCGAGGCCGAGAAGGCGTAGTTGTTGGCTCAGCCCCTCCCCCCCCCCCCCCAAGGAATCTGCCTCTGTTGCCGTCCCCCGCTATTTGTACGAGCTATGGGTCCATGCTGAGGCCCAACGAGATATATATAAGGGATTGTGGGCGGCGGGGAGCGTTCTTGAGGCCGCTTTTGAAGATGCTCGGATCAACGCACGCGAGGCTCGTCTTGCCTGCGGTTTTGACCCTGCGACACCGGAGGCCGGTGGGGGTGCTGAGATTGAAGATGGGCTCTCTTCTGATCATGACAACGCCGACGAGGATGGTGGTGGAGATGAGGCCGAGTAAAGTTTTTGTAGCTTTTTGTACTTAGCTTTTTTTTGTTTCTTTTGTTGTTGCTTGTTTTTTCTTTGTATGGGGGCACACTTTTTGGCCTTTTGTAAGGCGTTGTCGTGTATGTATATACATCTGAATAAGATAGTTGTTTTGCCTTTGGTTGATTATCTCAAACTCTCTTTCTTATCCTTTTTTTTGAAGTAGATCTTCAAATTTTCCCGTGATGATTCCCATGTTTTTAGTTGGGAATACGAATGAGGTCAAATTTAGCTGCTGATTCGAGCAAGTTTGGATCTCATCTCGTTAGTTCGAACAGGGTCGATCCTTACTTTTGTTAATTCGAGCGAGGTTGAACTTTATTAGCTTGAATAAAAGTCGAATTTTTGGCGATGGCCGGGGTCCGTAAGGGTATAAATTCGAGCGAGGTCAAATTTTACTTTCGCTTGGCGATGGCCGCGGGCCGTTAGGGTGTAAATTCGAGCGAGGTCGAATTGTAA